GCTCCCTTCTTTACTAACTCCACATCCTCCTCTTGAATGCCCAGCATACACCTAATGTTTCTTGTGTTTTCCCCAGAGACCACCAGTCTATTCTAACACACAAACTGTTCTGAATACCAGGGAACCAACAACAGGTGCCAGTGGTTATCAGAAAGTTATTTCTGTATGAGAAACATATAAACCAGACATGAAAATGGAACTCCTTTTAAAGGGGTGAAAAGACATCTATGGCGTTAAGGCACATAGTCAAGGAAATCAGATTTTTCCACCTGCAGGACATAGTTGGTTGGGGTTTTTTTTCCTTCTTTTTTAAGCTTCAAAATGATTGCAAAGCTAGCTTTAATACCATGTCCAACTGTTTCAAACTAAAAATTGAAGTCTCTGTAAAACATATGTCTACGTACTAGCTTCAAAGTGCTCCTTTTCACCCCTCCTAAGAACTGAAACCGTATTTAACTGCAATCTCAGACTTTTTATCTCCCTTCCCAGATGGCAACCTGGGTTTGCCCCAACACTTCCATGCAAAACCTAATAGAGCGTGAAGTTACAATTTTCCATATATATATCTGAAAAGTATGTGCAGCAGAAAAGCAGTTTCCTACTGAAATTGCTTTCCCATCTTTTTGTCTGGTGCTGCAGCCTCTTGAAATTTCACCAGCATAAAATACAGCTTTAAAAAACACAGCTCTTCTATGTCTGTGCCTAAGCATAGAATTACAGAGAGCATAAGCCAACATATCAATCAGTGCACTCAGTTAAAGTTCATCACCTTAAGTACATCAACTTTCGGTTTGCTTGAAGATGGTGATCATGATGTCAAGGTCGCTTTTAGGTCTTTGAAGCGAGCGTGAACTTTCAGCCTACAACTGATAAGGTACCACTGACAAGCAGGAGGAATTTTACCTTAAGTCTTCCTTTAAATGGCATCTTTCTTTTATACAAGCAGAAAACAGTCTGAAACAATGATCAAGATTTAAACTTACTGCTTTACGGTCCACAGTGCATGAAGATGCTAAACCAAGTTATGCTCATATAAACTCACTGTACTATCACTCCAATACTCTGTCTCCTCAAAAAGCAGGTACCCCTTTCAAGTGAAAATTACCAAATTACTTTTTAAGGACAAGGAACCATGACCAACACTGTAGTCAGGGTTTTCCCCTCAAAGGTTCTGATGTTATTCCAGTATGGAAGTGGAGCTATAAATACACTGGAAAGGGCAGTTACATGGAAAAAAGCAAGCATATTTGGGGACTGATTTACGGTATCAATTTAAGAGGGCAAACTCATGCTTACAACTTGGTCCATTAACAGACAGCATAACTGTACATGATTTAGAGTCTGAGAGGGAAATTTACTGAAACTTTAAAAACATTAATACTGCTTTTAATTCCTACATACTGGTAAAGAGGCACTCTGTGAATATACACATACACATGGAGGATAGGCCAAAAAAACAGTCTATGTCCAAGCACAGCCCTGCCATGACCCATCAGGACATTCTCTTTGCAAGTCTAAGCCTGTGTCTTTCAAACAAACAGGATTTTTGCCATCAGGAACCAGAGAACAGGCTATCCCAAACGTTATTTTTAATTAAAAAAAAAATAAAAAAAATAAAATTTTACCAACTTCCTGGCATTAAAAAAAAAAACAAAACCAAACATACACAGCAGCAACAGTTCTTCAAGAAGTATCTTCAGTATCTGAAGGGGGCCTATAAGCATGCTGGGGAGGGACTCTTCATTAGGGACTGCAGTGATAGGACAAGGGGTTAAAACTTAAACAGGGGAAGTTTAGATTGGATATAAGGAAGAAGTTCTTTACTGTAAGGGTGGTGAGGCACTGGAATGGGTTGCCCAGGGAACTTGTGAATCCCTGCCATCCCTGGCAGTGTCCAAGGCCAGGCTGGACAGAGCCTGGGGTGACACGGTTTAGTGTGAGGTGTCCTGTCCCATGGCAAGAGAGTTGGAACTAGATAATCTTAAGGTCCTTTCCAACCCTAACTATTCTATGATTCTACGAGTCTAAGTGGCTGTTAACCGTGAACAGATGAAAGTTAACAGGGTCAAGTTAAGAGCCACATTCACAGATTCTAAAATCAATCTGAAGGTTTAGCAGTTAAAAAAAAAATTCTGATAGCTGCAAAGGCCATTTGTATTTAAATACCACCTAGCTGGCTAAATAAAGACTAAAGAAAAAGAAAAAAAAAAAAACAAACACAGCATTTTGTCCCAATGATACAAATGCCGAGAAGGAAGACGGGTGCCCATGGGAAAGGGCTCCGCAGAGATGACTCCTGGCATCACCCATTCCTCCTACGTGATTTAATAGCGTCTCCGCCGGCACCGGAGAGCCCCGGCGCACACCAGCACCGCCGCTGCCCTGTCACGAAATCTGCCCTCTCAGCAAATGCGCTCCATTTTCCTGCGAACTCAGTGTCAGCTCCGCTACAGCCTCTGCCGATATATTTGCTTCGGAGCAACAGTAGGCTGAACTTCAAGTAACAAAAACGCAATTCCTGCAACTCCCTTTTCCACCCCCACCCCCCTCCCCGCTCCTTCCCCCGATGCGGAGGACTCCAGTCCCAAGGGCAGAGCCCACCAGTCCCAGCGAGGAAAGCTCGAGGGGCATCCCCGGCTCCGGGCCGACAGCTCCGGCAGCTCTCCCGCCAGCAGCGCCTCTGGGCCTGCCGCACCGAGCCCTCCCCTTCCATCGGGCACCAGCACCGGGACGGCAAGTGTTTACGTTTAAAAATACATATATACCGAGCCCGGATCCAAAGGGAAGACGGAAAAACTCCGCCCCCCTCTCTCTCCCGACTCCCTTGGAAAGGCGATAAAAGCAGGGCAGAAACATCTTGACCGCTCGGCGCTCCTTTTCTGAAGGGAAAAAAAGGAGAAAGGGAGGGAGGAAGGAAAAGAAAATAATGGGCAACAAAAGTGAAATAAAGGACCGGGGAGCGCCGCGGGCAGCAGTCCCGGCTAAAAGGGGAGGCGGCCGGGAGGGCGGCTCGTCCACGGCGCCGCCGCCGGGCCCGGCCGTCAGGGACCGCGCGGGGAGGCTGGGCCGAGCCGGGCCGGGCGGTAGCGGGAAGCGAGCGAGGAGCCCCGCCGGGGAAGAAGCGGGGAAGAGAGGGGGGACCGCGAGTAGCAGAGGGCACTCACATAGCGTTTCAACTTCTTCTCCGGTGGGGACTTTCGGAGCCAGCCCGAGCAGACCACCTCCCCGCCGCTCATGGCTGGGCCGTCTGCCCGCCGGGGCAGTCCTCGTCCTCCTTTTCCTCAGGCAGCAGTAGCAGCACCCGGGCCGGGCCGAGTCGAAACAGCCCCGAGACGCGGCGGCAGCACCGCGCCCGCTCCGGCCTCCCGGGGTTACGAGGCGAGGGAAGGGGACGGACGGGGGAGCGGTGTAGTGTGTCTGTCTCTCAAGCACAACAAACAGGAGCGGCGAGCGGAGCTGAGGCTGGGGGCTCTCCCCGTCCTCCTCCTCCTTCTTGTTGCCGCCGCCGAGTCACACGAACATCGGGAGAGACGACAACGGCAACCGCCGCCCCGCCGCAACTTCGGATCCAGCGTCCCAGGGCAGGATCCAGCCACCGCCCCGCGTCAGCGGCACCGCCCCCCGCGCCGTCGGGACCCTCCCGCCGGGGAAGGGCCGCGGAGGTCTTCCCCTCCCTCCCCTCCCCTCCACTCGCCCCACGGCCGAGCCGAGCTCAGCGCTGGCCGCCGCAGCTTCTCGGGCTCTCTCCTTCCCCTTCTCCCTGCTCTCCCTTCGCCGGGAGGAGGGGTTCGCCCAGCCCTCCTGCCTCTTTCGCCTTCACCTCCGAGAGGGGGGCGGGAGCCGGCCGCGGCTGGGTCGCACCCCGCTCCCGGCGACCGTGGGAGGGGTTTACCCTGGTATTCGCGGCGTCGTGTCCATCCCCCTGTCCCCCAGCCTACTTTTTCCCACAGCGCCTCCCCTCCCGCCCCCAACGTCGGCCCCGCACCGCCCCGAGCAGAGCTGCTGCGGCGCCACGGCTCCTCCTGAAACTCCGCCGGAGCCTTTTCAAACAACAAGGGCCGGGAGGGAGAAGGGAGGGAAGGGACGGCGCCTCCCTGAGGGATCCTGGGAGCTGTAGTCGGCGGGCGGCGGGGACTGCGGCGGCGCGGTCGTCAGGGGGGCGGGAAGGGTTGAGGAGAGGGGAGGACCGGTGGACAGCTGCGTGCTTGCCGGAGAAAAAGGGGGTGAGGGAGCGACCCCGACCCTCGCCCGGCAGGGAGATCGGTTTTTGTTAGTTTCAGAGGGACGAGGAGGCGGGTGTTTGTTTGAATAACCGCTATTAAAATCGCAGCTGAAATGGTGATTCTTTGAAACCCACAGCAAAATCGTTCTCTGCAGATGCGGAGAAAAGGGGGGGATCACCAAAACCGACCGCAAAACCCTGTGAGAACTACGTTAAAAGCAACTCGGCAGAAGTAAACTCCTTCTAGCGATCTGAAACTGCCTTAGCGCTAAAAGTTACAAAGTCAGGGTGTGAGAGCGGAAAGGCGCAATGCCAGCGGCGGGCCGTTCTCCCTCCTTCCCGAGCTAGACCCGGAGCTGGGGCTTGACGGCGCTTCTCTAATGCAGAGGGTGCCGCGAGGGGCGGCCTGTGACGGCGGGATGGACTCGTTAGGGTGGAAGGTCGAAAGAATTTTAAACCTCTGGAACTACCAGCGCCCACCCCTCGCCCCGAATCCCTCCCCTCCACAGCACTGTTCCCTACAGACAAAAATAATAAAGTTTCGGCTGCTCGTGCCTGCTTATTGATCTGCGGTATTATTAAGTAGGGTGTCGGTGGGCTGCGAGCATGGCCTCGGCTGCTCTTCTCTGGGGAACAGCCGCAGCCGACGGTGTCGGGGCGGCTCCGAGCTGGCCCCGGCGGCGGCGGGGGCTGCGCCTCTCCCGAGCGAGGCGAGCGCCGCCTCGGGTCTGGCTGCCGGGAGCCGGCGGCGGGGATTGCCCTCAGCCGGCAGCGCCGCTGGCAGCACGGGGTGTGCGGTGGTGCCTTCCCTCGTTCGTCCTTCCCCTCCTGGCTGAGCGCCGGGCGATGAGCTCCTCGAGGCAGGGCTTGCTGGTCACTCTGCGATCAGATAAATACCCAAACAGAACAAAACAAAAGGAGAATGATACGCAGGGCAATCCCAACCACTATTCAATTAAAAGGGAAAGACCCAACTCATTCAACATCTCTGCTGCTGGTGCTCTCTGCCGCTTCCACTATGCCAGAAATAAATCTCCAGATAAATTTTATTATTCTTTTGTTTTTTACAGATTATTTAACTGCAAGCTTCTGGCACAGGATCGTTGTGGTGGTTGTTAGCACCGGTGCTCTTCCACTGAAGAGAAATAGTCCCCCTAGTGTGTCGTTGTTGAAGGGAGCACCGCGGTGCTGTGATTCATGAAGGTAGATAGCATTAAAAAGTTGAAAAGCAGCGGTTGGAGCGTCTTAACGAGGGCATTTGCAGAGATAACAGGGAAAAAAATAAAGCTGAAAGCCTAAAGGTATTAAAATCAGTGTATCGATTCCACCATAAATCTTTTCATAATTGTGACAGATAAAGTACTATTAAGCACTAACAGAAAGATCATCAAATAAGGAGATATTTTGCCAAAAATGTTAAAAAAAAAAAAGAAAAAAAGAAGAATGTTGGCCTTTATCAATATTAAAAGTGCACAAATCCTAGAATCCAAACCATTCTCACATACATTTCTACACATCATTTCAGCTGCCTCAGTGGGTCTATTGGAAAGAGTAAAACAGTGTTTTGATGCCTGCAGTTCATAAGCATGAACTCAAATTGTACTGTTAGGTTTAGATTTCAAGCTGGTTTCAGTATACCTCTTCTGTTTAAACCACTAATGCCGTTGTTTAAGAACCTCAACATTTGAGATTATCCAAGTGTCACAGAAGACCACAAGATTTTGAAGTTTCCTTTAGAAACCTGGAAACAATTTGATATCCTCGAGCAAGAACATGTAGAATCAGTGTGAACTTACTAAAAATGCCATTGGCATTAGAGTGTTGTAGGATGATCTAACGGTTCATTTCGATCCTCCTAATTAACCCATGTCTTGAGGGCTAATCAAAGCAAGCCAGTCTTTTAGCTCAAGCAGAGTCTATGGAGGCACCAACCAAACAAATTATCTGGTCCAAAGACACAAAATTGTCCCCGAGGTCAAATTTCAAAACATTACATTTGTATTTTAAAACACATTGGAAACAGTGTTAGCCTGGAGTCTGGTACTGGTTTTCATGTATTTGTTATGTGTTTGTCTGTCAATTCATTTTCTTGAAAATAGCTATCCAGAGACAAAATTCTGTGTGTGAGTTTCATTCCTGCCATATAGTGATAAATTGTAGGTTAGAGAAAAGGAGTTAATGTCAAGAAAAGTGATTAATAATAAGTACTAAAAACTGCCTTTTAGACTATCCCTTGTTGTTGAGCCTAATCGCAAGCCCCCACACTGGACATAAAAATGATTTATTGGATTACTGAATTGAAGAAAATGTAATTGAAGAAAATAAGAAAGATTTCCAAATGACAAGTTAGGATGTTGTCTGATGGACTATTCCCTTTCTAGTTGTGGCAGTGGATTTCCTTTTCTTCTAGCAACCATTTGAGTTACCCATTCACACTTCCACTGACATTTTCACTAATCAGAAGAGGACTGCATGTAGGTGTCCCTCTCTCCCTCTCTTCCCAGGTAAGTCCACAGCCATAAATCCAAGAATATTAATACCGTAATTCTCTGTGCATAACCAGCAATGCTCCACTGTTCATAATTTAGATACCCTGTATTAGGATAAACCAAAGCAATTAAGAACACTAATGAAATGCATAAGCAGCACAATGTTTAGGTCTGACTCTTAACATCTGCATATTTAAAGCTGTGAAATTGTCTATGAAGAGATGTTCATGGGCACAACTAGAAAAATCCTTAGCTCACTCAGATAAATTAGGTTAGGGCATAATTTCCTGAAATTAGGATAAAAGTCACAAAGACCTTTGTCAAGAATGAATGCTTCAGCTAGTTTGCCTGCTACAGTTTTGCTCTGGAAGTTTAAACAACATTAGGCATTTTGAAATTCCCCTGCAGTATAGCTTGTGCTTGAAGTACTTAATACCCCCAGGGGCAGTCATTGCTTGCGGGATTACTGTAACCCTATGTCAGAACACAACCACCCTCTCCCCTCACTGGCAGGTTATTTGTGTGCAAGCATGCTGTTACTCAGGAAGCCCAGAGGATAAAGATCCTTTGAGCTCAATTAATTGCACTATGGAGGTCTTTTGTGTTTCTGTACAAAGACAGTCCTAGAGGGAAGAGGATTTTCTGTGCCTTGCCAGTGTATCAGCCATGGCCTAAATAGCTGCAGAGGTCTCATTGTTCCCACTGGGAACAATCTCACTCTTTTGCTTTGCAAACAGTCAGTGTTCATAAAGAATTGCCACCTTGTTTTTCAAACAATATTCCATTGCTTCAGACCATCTTTGGGGATTTTTTTTACTGATAGCAAGGAAACAGTCAATTACCCCCAGTCATTTTGCAGCTAGTTGGGCTACTGAGGTTTCTTTCCCCTCCTGTTTTTAAAAAGCAGCTTGCTATTGGCAGCTGCTGGTGGCCAAGATGAGGATGTGCAGAGCAAAGCAGCTACAGAAGCTCAGAAGGGATCCATACTGGCTGCCTACTGCACCAAAACCACATGAGACCCAGGTACTGCACCATTGTGCATGTTGCCATTTCTGAATCTCTCATGGCTAACGTGCCATTCAAAACAGTACCCATTTCATGGTCACATACCAGACCAACTATGCAGTACCCAAAATGCTGACTAAAATGCACTCTTACTGGCCAGGAGATACGGTGCCCTGCTATGTGACAACTACACACATCGTCACGGTGCTTGTGCCACCTTCCAGCTCACTGCACTGGTGTTCAGGCTCCGACAGAGGTTTTGTCTCAGCTACCACCTCCCTTCCACTAGCATGTGCAAGATGCCTTGATTCCTCCATTGACTTTGTGCTCTTTCACAAGTGTGTTCCAAAGTGTTTAAATGGCTTCTCCAAAATTTTGGAGTAGACTAGTTACAAATCTCACCAGACAAAGTAGGTCATGTGGAAACCCATTTGCCTCTGGTTTGCTTTTTCTTGCCAAGCCACCTTGACAAAGGAAACTGGAGCTGATAGAAGAGATTAAATTCAAATGGGTTTGTTTTTAAAAATATAAATGACACTAATTTCTCATGCAAATAGCTTAGAAATTCTGGACTTGCATAATAAGACAGTGGTCAGTACAGCTCCCAACTTTGTATTATGGTATGAAAACCTGGGCATTCCTCTGTAGCTTCACGTTGCAGTCACAGTCAGCTGTGGCTCCTGGTAGTAATCCCTAAACTCTTCTATGCCCTTTGCTTATATTTGCATACAAAATTTGTGCTTCATTATGACACAAAAGACTTAACACTCTAATAAATTATTTAATAAAAAAAAATGTGCATGTCAAACTATGTCTCAAAACATCTTTAGGTATTTATGCAACAATGAATCAGTACAAGAAGACAGATATTTTTAAGCTTGAAAAAAACTGCATCTAGACATTTGTTTTCATCTCAGGTATTTCTCTTTTGATTTTGAAATTACTCCCAGGTAAATTTAATCTACAGGGTTATTTTGGTCAGTTCATAGATGACATTATCTACTGTTTCTTTCAGACTGTAGTTATTTACATTATGTGGCAAAGAGGTTGAGGAAAGTAATACTAAGCAGACATAATTAAATGAGATGACTGTATGTCCACACACGTTAGGGTTGTTTACCGGGTTTTAAGCTATCTCTTGTCTCTTTTTTTATTATTCCTTTTAATATTGATGTAGGCAAATAAAGGTATGTGTACACTGTAGAACTTGTACCAAAAAAGGACTGGTTTTTATTTCTACATTGGTGTAATACATTGAGATTTCCTTTGTGATTTTTGTGGAAAACTCTCATTCCCACTTCTAGAATGGAAATTCACTGGTAAATGTTTGTCCTCTGTCTTTTTGCCAGAGGATCAGTTGACTACTTTACTTCATGCAAGGGAATTTCCCTTTCCTTTCCACGCTAGGCAAAGAAGAAGGAGCAGGCTGGCTGGTTGGCCAGCCATGCAGAAACATCCTCAGGTCCATGCTGTTCAAAAATTAATCAGCAAGATTTTCCCTCCATAAGGACAATACCTTTTTGCACCTAGCCTCGTGCCCTGAAAATGCATGGACTTTTTTCTATCATAGGAAGCATTTCACAAGTTAAGTAAAATGGAAAGTTAATAGTTCAGATATGTTTGGTTTGGTTTTGAATAGAAATAAGATTTGCTGTATAGATGACCATGTTCTCCAGAAAAAAAAAAGCATGGTCATATAAGAGACCAATACTCCAGTGCCATGCATAGTCAAGAAAGCATCACCCAAGCAGTTTGGTTTGAGCATGGTTTATTCTCCAAAAACACAAGGTGGAAGATGTATTGAACACCTCCCAAAACTTAAATTTATTGCAATGTAGAACATCGGGGAGCAAGTAAAGGCTAAGAGGCAGCAAACATGAGCACATAGCTTTTCTTTTACTGGAAGAATAAGAAATGCAAGCATTTTACAACAATAATAATTTCTGCTGGAGTTAAGGGGTGTTTCGGGGATAGTCTGAACATTTGCCTGCAGCCTCAGCCAAAGAGGAGTCCCACTTCATTAAGCCAATTAGCAGTGCAGTTATCTAGGCTGGGATTCATCTCCCTGTAGTCACCTACAGTGTGGTGGTTTGTGTATGTGCTACTTACCTACACCTTCTTTTTAGTCACTGGCGAGATACAGGCAACTAGGGCATATATCATCTCTTCCAAAGCTAGATGTCTAAATTGATTAGGGGAATTGAGTTCTTGGAGTGCTTGTTTATCTCCATTGACTGCAAGAATCTAGACAAGTAGCTCAGAGGTAGACAGCCATGCTTGTGACATGTAAAGTTAAGTAAGATGAAACCTTAGCATGTGAGTGAGAAAAGCAACTATATTCTCAAATGTCAATGTCAGTCAAAAATGGGGATTTTATTGATTTATTTATTCTAGTTAAGTGGTTTTGATAATTTTGAAAATCTTCAGCCTATAGCAATAGCAGAGATAGGAGGTCAAGTGAAACTACAAATTGGATTAAAAGCTCAGAGAGACAGAGTCGCTTTGTATTGAAGCAGGACAGTCTTGTCCAGGCAGAACACACAGGAGCAACAGTCTTTCTGTAGTTATTTATAAAATCTTCAGGGTTTCAGCTTGAAAATTCCACAGCCTGAAGCTGAAGAGATTTAAATGTATTTCTACCATTAGTGTTATTTTATTAATCTCTACCGTAATATCTAAGATTATTATATCGCACTCCTTTTGCTTATTCCAGGTACAAACAAATATTTTAATAAAAAAGAAAATAAAGAACGGAGAAAAATATTTCTAAATTGCAGCTGAATAGATAGAATGTTCTACTTGTATTTAAAAGCAAAAAATTAAGTTTCCTATCTCTCTCTCTCCAGCTGCCACTGTCTCCTTGAGGATAACAATATCCCAGTTCACTGATTAGGTCATCACCTTGTCCACAAGGTCATCCAAGACAGTAAGAAATAAAATTGTTGCTTACTTGATCAGCCACACAACTCCAGTATTGGTATGTGAATAGTCACGGTGAACAATTCACTAGCAAGCCACAGTTTGCCAAAAACATGAATTAAACTGCTCACAGAAAAGTTATGATCAAGTGAAAGAGCTCCATTTGACCCCAAAGTAAATATTTTCCACTTATTGATTCATCTGCCTCTACCAAAAAAGATTACATCATATTTTAAAGGATTTAATGATGCCATTTTTTCTCTAGTATAAATCTTATGCTCATCTGTAAGCTGTCTGTATTTATTGTGGAACCTCAGGGATTCCACATCATCTAGGATAACAGGCGAGTTTCCCTCTATCCAGGTAAAACAGCCACTGTAATCATAGAAATTGCCCCACTTCACATTTGGTGGTTTGGAAGGATAAGCCCTGCTGGACACTTGGTGCCTCTGACCTTGGCTTGCTTTCAACTCAGTGGACTTCCTAAACAGGCATGAACAGGAGTCTCAAACACATCGTTAACCAATATTAAGGGATTCTCTTTGACCACCTTCTCAAAATTCCTCAAAGGATGGACAGCTTTTCAGATGCTAAACAATCAGAAATCACTCTGATACTGAGACCTCAGTTCCCACTCTAGATGCATTCTGATGTCAACAAGATGTTCACATTCTTTCTGTAGATGTTTTCTTCATTCTTTATCTTTCCCCATTCTTTTCACTAGGCTCTTATGAAAGCCTCTTTTCACTTATCTCTTCAGTTGTTTTTGAATATGTTCCACAATCAACTTGTTGATGTTCTTACTTCCCTCATACTACTTAATTAACTTTCGTAACAACCCGACCACCTCCTCTGTCCAACATCACTCTTCTTGCAATACCCTCTTTAGGGTGGGAGGCAAAGATCCACTCAGTGTTCCAGATAGCTGGATGAGTCAGACATTTGTGTTGTCCCACAACCCCATATGCACTATGTTGTATTGACCATAAACACTGCACTCTATTGAGTGCTGTGGTCTATTGACCAGCACTGCACTCTATCCAGCAGGTAACTTCACAGACTGTGTCTGTGCGTCTGACAAATCACTGACTTTCTTCAGAAAGTGTTGCTGAAAAAAACTCACTGTTACACTTGTTGCATCTAAATATTTCTAATGTATTAATTTCCTAATTCCTTCATAATACTTCTAATTGTGTGGATTTTCTATGTAAAGGCAGGACAAGGCTTTTCATTAATGTAGACAAACTCAAGTTTTGCCTTTCCACAGACAAGGAAAAAGATGACTTAGACTGTCTTCATCCTCAGGAGCAGCAACCTCCAGTTTAGCAGGAGAGGTAGACAGCATGCTGAGAATGGGATAGGTGGCTGTGGAGGCTCAATGGGAAGTTTCAGGAAGCCAGGAAACATTGTTGTGGGTTGGAAGGGACTCTCTCCCCTGGCTAACACCTTTTCACATCTCATTGGAGGGACTGAAACCCAAGGTAGAGGTTGAGGTAAACAAAACCCCGGTTCACAGATCAGGCCACCACCTTGTCCACAAAGTCTAGGTCATCCAGCACAATAATTAAAACTGTCACTTACTTGATCAGGCACACAATTCCAACACTGAGTGACCTGTCAAGAGGCTGTGACTTGCCAGGAGTGTGAAATGAATGCAACACCTTTGCCCACTCTCCTCTGGAGAGGAAGAAAGAGGTTTCACTCTCTAGCTGTGAGAGAGGGGTGTTGTGAACTGTGGGAGGACAGTGGTAGGACAGTGAAGGGGACAGGTATATAGCAGGGCTGGATACAGGTGTACAAAAATGAAGTGCAATGACCCCGTCTATAGCCATCCTGTTGTTCCAAGCAACTGTGTGCACAGTCAGCTCACTCTGTGAAAGCTATCATCTTGCCCCTCCAATTTTAACTTCTTGTGAGCCTTTCCATGAGAATAACATGGCTGTTATGGCGTGTGTGTAACATCTGCTATTACATGTATGAAATATTAGTCACCTAGTCTGTAATATCATAGTAACATAGCAGGAAGATCTGAGTCCACAGCATTAAATTTTGTGCTAATCCTTGGCCTCCTACAGACAGCAAATTAGAAATAATCAAGCATTATGATGAAAAAAGCTGTAGGTCAGAGACTTCTTTCTGCAGGCAGCTTGGGCAGGGAGACAGAACAATTAGCACAAAATAAGCCCACAAGCTTTCAAACTTTTGGACAGCCACAGACTTCAAGAGAAAATGAATATTTTTTCTTTTCTTTATTAATTTTTGGCAGTGTGACCACAGCTTTTGCTCCACAGTACCAAGACTCTTCCAAGAAATGAGCAGCTTCAGTGGGCCTTTCCCAACACTTGCAGCATCCCTTCCTGGTGCACCACAGGATGAAGGCACCTTGTCACATACAATAGTGCCTTTTCTCTCTTCCTGGCTGAGCTGTTGGTGAGTTTACAGTAGTAAAAAATAAGGTGCTTAATCCCATTTGAGAAGTGCTCAACACATCTGATTGAGCAAAGCCAGATAGAGTAACAGTGATAATAAGCTAGTCTGTTTTATTACCTGCATGTGCAGGCTTGATAAAAGACTGATCTACAGCCTAACCAAAGGTTAAAAATTACTTGAGATCACTTTGCATGATAAAGTGAGGAGTACTGCAGCCTCAGTTGTATTGTATGACCTTGATCACTGTTATGTCTGTCAGAGGTTATACATCTCCATCTCTGGAGAGGAATCAGGCTCTTTACTGCAAAATGGCAAAATTTTAGTTACTAAAGGTTTCATCTGCAAGAAGAGGTTGTTCTGTTCTGGGCATATAGTTAATCTCTTTCAGTGTAACACAGTATCTTAGTTCAATATAGCACATTCTTCCCTTTGAAATGATGTAGCTTCTACACTTAGAATTTTCTGGCTGAAAATTGAAAAGCATACAAACAGTGAGTAGCTCATACTGGTTTAATGAATGTATAATTACAGGCTCCCATAAAACAGGTTTATGAAATGTGAACTGCTCCTGACTAGTAATGTCAAAGTTGTTGCAACAGCTTATTTTGATTAGTTGCAACATCCTCTAATCTTAATAAGAACACAACAACTTAAATATTTAACAAAACCAGAGCATGAAAGCGTGAAAGAAACTGATTTAAGAGTATTGATACTTAATGGGCAACAGCGATTTTGCTTTAACTTTATTCTGTAGCAATCTAGATACACCGTTCACAAAACCACACTGCATGCAAGTAAGGAAGATGTATTTACTGTAGGGCAAGTGGATGATGTTATTAGTCAAGCAAAGACAAAGATGAGGTAAAAAACAAAAAATAAAAGTAAGGATGGGGAAAAGTAAATAGCACTGTAAGCTGAAGGAGAATGCATAGCCTGTATTGCCCTTGGGTTTTTGGTTTTTTTGTTTTTTTTTTTTGTCTTAGATTGTAAGTTTTTCAACATGGGGAGTGTCTTTCTGCCCTGTGTAACGATCTAAGTCCAGGACTTCTCAGGTATTAAAGCCAGTTTCAATTCTCCTATCCCAGGGAGATAGGAGAGGTGTTAGCATACAGAGCCTTGGGGCAGAGTCCTGGGAGCTCATACGTGCTACACCTTCTGGCAGACACAGCACTGGGGGGATGGTGTCAGAAACTCTTCTGCTTTGACCCTTTCTGGCTCGCAGCAGGAATTTAATATGACAGCAGTGCTCATTACTGTGTTACAGACGTGGTAGAGGGAAAACATGCCACAAAAACATGTCTGTTTTGCATCCAGATCAACCTCTAGCCATAAGCAACTGCCAAGTTTTCCCATGCCTGTTCTCACACTGCCTGTGTTTGTCCAGCTCAGTAGAGAGTCAGTCCTTGTTGCTACAAGCATGCAAACAATAATCAATAACAATGTGGTCTCTGATTTTCAAATGCTTAGAATAGCACTGCTTTTGGGAAAAACCTCAGCCAACATGTAAAAATAAGATCCAGTGCTAAGGGTCAGCTTTGTTGACTTTAAGAGTGTTGTTGAATCTTGTATTTGACCTTTCCAAACCTAATTAAAGATTTACTCCAGCACAGAGATACATTCTGCTGTGTCGCACTTCTCCAGATGGGCAGACTTTGACTCGTATAAGGTGAGCTATTTTGGGGGAGTACAGTGTGCCCTGCAGGACTGGGGCACTATGTGCATACAAACAGCAGGCACACTTGCCCAGTCATACCAGTGGCAGATGCTAACTTGTGCCAGCTTTACATTTGCATAAGCAACTGAAAGAGATACCCTTGCAAATATACATCTCTATTCCACTTAAAACACTCTGAAAAGCCTGAATTCAAAGGCACATTATGATTATGAAGCTAAAACCCCCAAAAGTTCATGTGCAACTATAAATCTGCCTTTACATGATCATACATCTGCACTGCTGTTTCCACAAAGCCCCTGCCAAAATCTCAGCATAGGAATGCCCTACAACTTGCTGAAGCTAGTGGGAATTGAAGTAATTTTGCACTATATTAAACTGAGGGAGGAAAGTGTGTGACATGTTCTTCAAAGCTGCATAAAAATAAAGTTTAAGTTTAAATAAGAGACCATATCATGGTACAAAGTTAGCATTTGGTCTAAACAGCCGTAACTCAGCTTTTAAAAAATGCAATTTCCTCAGTTTCTCTGAGGAAAACCAGCAAAACGGGAAACATGCTGCCTTTGCTGTTTCCTAGTCAAAGTGCCTAGACAGCACCAGAGATGGGGAAGTGAAATTGCTTGGGGTAGGTGGATCATACATTAAAAATATTATAGAGCGTGGTTGAAATACACAAGTTCACAGTCATTCACTTAGACTCCTGCTTGTTGCATGGTGTACCTGAGTCTAATTTGAGGATTTAGGCAGGCTCTGTGTGGTAGCAGGCCTCATCCCAGTGCTTTTTATGGGGATGCATTTCATCCCAGTTGCATAACTGTCAACAGCTGCAGTCATAATAAATGTATATGACAGTTGTTAAATGAATGTATCTCTATTGCTGCGATGTAACTGGCATGGAAAAGGTGGAAAGCACAGTAAATGGGAAGCAGCAAGTAACCATGCGATGCTTCAGTCAGTGTATATATCTTTCCTATGTGAGATGAAAATGTTTTTCACTTCAAGCCAGTATATATACGCCGACAGGAATTCAGTTTAAACAGGAGATGTCACTGGTAAGAGGCCACAGACACGAACACAGGGTCACACCATGTTGTGATCTAGCTTGTTGGAATTTGTGACCTTCAGCTCCAGAAACTTGGGCTTGGTAAGATAAGAAGAACAGCTCTCCTAGCTTGCCCACAGATAGGGGACTGATAAACACTAAGTAGTGTGGCATGCCTTTCTGCAGAGCACAGGGCTATGCATACGTATGATACAATCACAGTGCAGCTTCTTATGCTGGTAGTTTGCCTAAACCATCATCAACCCAGGCAGACCTCGCACATCAGGGAAGGTCTGCATGTCACAGGAATCAGCAACATAGCTTTGGCAAACAACACAAAACACCATCAGCAGCTTTCTAAGAGAGCCAGAAAAGCGGACACCACTTTGATTTGTAAGTCACCACAATTGTGTGGAACACTACCAAGGTGCATGTGTGAGTATATCCATAACTATATTCCTGTAATCTTCCAGACCATTACAGAAGGAGCTTTGCCTTGCATAACCCCCTGGGCTTAAAAGCATTTTCAGTATCCGCAGATATAATGACCTTAGAAGACTAAAATAATCAATACTCTTTATTTATGTTTTTCTCATACACTGAAGCAATTAATAAAGGTTTGCAAAGCTTTTGTGGGCATATTGTTACAGACATCAAGACCTGCTACTGCTGATGCAGCAGTGCAACTTGTGGGAGAGGAGGCAAATACCCCTGTAGTGATGTTTCCTTGGAGGTGGTGAACATACCATAGAGTAATCAAAATTGTAAGTGTGCACAATACCAAATGATACTGAAACAAGCACATGCTAGTACTATTGCAGCACATAGTACTAACAGTAGTAGCTTTATGCATTGTACTGCATTGCTTTTTACCATTTATAGATCCTTCTGTACAGAAGTAAGGCAGTGGCAACTACTTAGCCTCTCTGCTCATGCAGGGTAACAGAGGTCATGCTGCCTTTGCATATGAATTTCAGGACTCCTCCATCTGCCCCATGGAATTCCCTGCACCCTGGGGTCTACAGTGACATATAGGACCTAGGAGGCAAGTTGATAATAGAAGCTGACCTGTGAGACAGAGCTGTCTTCTGTAGAGGCTGTGGATGCCTGGAAGTGCTCTAAGGCAGCTTTGCTTATACTAAATTCGAGTTGCATCGAGTCTTCTTTTTCTTTCCCAGAAAGAATATCTTTCATCATAAGGTGAAGTTTTCAGGTTGGATCCATCAAACCCAATGAGAACAGGAAGCAAAAGCAGACAGTCCCTCACATGGCCTTTGAATCTCACTCATCCCATGTCATGCTAGTTGTACTCTGAGCCTCAACAACACCACAGTAGCTTTTGATTTAGTATCATGAGAGTAAGGTATCTGTCATCACTAATTTTCCCAAACAGTAATCAAAGTCTGAAGTGCTCCTCAAGGTTATCTCATTAGCTATAATCTTTCTCTAAAGAGAGCAGTAAGCTGTATCACATGCCATATAATAAGCTGTTCATGGTATGTTACAGAGTGCTTATGGACTGAAGCTCATAGCAACTTCTAGTTGCATCAACTCTTTTTCTTTCCATGAAAGAGCATCTTTGCTTTGGGTGAAAGAATTACTTATTAGCAGAGTGAATGGTAACACTGTCTAGTTCTCTTCACATAAAAAATTAACACTGTATCAGACACTGATTCACAGCAGAAGGCATAAAAATAAATACCCTTATTACCACTGATTGCACACACTTTGGTGTGCACACTGGCAATGCATTTACACACAGGACAAACCCCTGCTGGTCAGTACTTCACAAGGGACAGTTCAAATCTGGGGAAAATGCCAGAGGAGAAACATCTTTTTGAGGAATTGGACAGCAAAACTGCACTCTGAGCTCTGGAGTGAATAAAACATTCAATTGCACCTTCCCTTAGCTCTAGGTACCTTCTCTACTTGCAATGGAGAAGGAATAGGAACAACCACCTGACCCAACCTCCACTAAAGCAGCTGCTTCCACTCACAGGCAAAATTTTACCTTGTGTTACACTGATGCAGTGGCAATGAAGTCCACTTGGACTGACTATCTAGATTCGCTATTTAGACCTCTGTGACTCGCCATCATTTGAACTGCAGGTAGCCCAGTGATGCCTTAGTTAGAGATATGACAAGGCTTCTAGGCATAGGAATAATGCAGACAGCAGTAACACCTGCTGGACCAAAGTAGCATTTGGTTCTGGCTGTGCAA